GATGATTTTTAAGATCTCTCTCGATGCTGTGTTAGGAGATCCGTCCTTTTATTCATCCCTCTCTTCACATCCCACATCTGATTGGCTAGCAGCTCTTGCCGATTCTCTCTCAGCACGGCCTCCTATATCCTGCCCTCTTTTCCATCTCCCCTGCTACTGCCCTAGTTTTCTCTCACCTAGGATATTCCAGTAGCTGGCTAACTAGATTCCTTGCTTTCAACCCCCATTGTTTCCAATTCATCCTTCCCTCTGCTTGTTACACTCAGGCTTTTATTAGTTCCTTTTTAGGACGTTCTCTCCCTTGGGTTATAAATTTCTCCAGGTGGGTTCTCTATCCTCAGCCTCCTGTGTAGTCCTCAGTAGTCCTGAGAAGGGCAGGCTGTGCCTTCTGGGTGCTTCTGTGACGCTTCTTTCGCACACCTCTCCTTTTCCTTCAGGCCCGGCCTCTCTGAGTCTCAATTACAGCTCAGCCTCTCCGAGTCTCGATGGAGAGAGCGCTGCTCTTCTGTCAAAATTCCAGAGGAAAGCATGACATCTAAAGTCCTCTCTCCTGTTACAATCAAAATACGGCCAACTGGAAAGATCCGTCTGCCAACGAATCAGTAAGGAGAGGTAACAGTGAGGAGCTGTGGAGAAGGCTGATTGGTGCTTCTTGCTTAGAACTGTAGATATGGGTTTATTTGGCCTGACTTTAGAAAGGCAGAGAGGTCTGACTTCCATAATTGTCAGTGCCCATCACAGAGTAACTGGCAGCTCAGGATTATTTTAAAGAGTGATAAGCCTTAACCGCTTCTTTAGGGAAGAAATCCAAATCAAAGATGCTTTTCCTCAACATTTAAAAAAATCTTTCTGGTACCCTGATCTCATTTTAAGACAACCTAAATTACCTTGGCTCCAGAACATAACGACTACCATATCAGTGATGATGCATTCAGCTGAAAAGGTAACTAGCAGTGGCTTAAACCATAAAGAAGCTAATAGTTTCCTAATAAGACTGAAAGGAGGTGATCTCGGGTTGTCTGGTAGCTCAATGAAGTCATCAGGCACCATCAACGATCCAGGGCTTTTCATGCTCCTGCTTTGCCTCCTCAGCAGGCTGAACCTTACCCGGTGGCTCAGCTTATCCTCTCATTGTTGCAAGCAAACCGTAGCAGCCCTAAGCTTCACATGCCCAGACAACACGGTTCAACAGAGCGAAGAAAGAGTTAAGAGTAAAACAAAGACTATAAACAAATTTTCAAATTCTAAAGGCCTTTGTGACTGTTATTTATCAAGGGAAAACATGTTTCCCAGAGAACCTCACAGATTTCTTTTTATGTCCCCTTGGCCAGAAGTGGGTCATAGGCTTTTCAAACCAACTACTAGACAAGGGAAGTAGAATTCCCAGGATTTGTCCCCTTGGGTGAGGGAGAAGCCTAATTCACAGGAAGAAAGAGGCGGATGGTTTCTGAGTAGGTAACTCACGCCCTCACCTGACTTCTTCCCCTGATCCTGTAACATGTTTACCCTTGGCCCTCAGTCCTGCGTCTCCCTACACTTGCCTGTTTCTCCTCTCGCCTTCCCTAGAAAACTCAATGCAGGAGCCACGTGATTGCACTGCCTCCCTCCACATCTTCACCTCTTCCTCACTCCTCAATTCTGCCAAAGTCGAGCTCGTGTCTCTGCCATTCTTCTATCTCCTTCTCATCTCAGCTCACTCCTTCCGTTAAAACTCTCTGCTGGGTTTGACATCCCTTCTTCCTCAAAACCCCTTCCGACCTTGATTCTCAAGACATCACACTCTGAATTCTACTTCTACATCCCGGCCCACTTCTCGGTTTCCTTCAGTGGCTCTTCTCTTCTGCCTGTCCCTGAAATGTTAAGGTTATTTAGGGCTCTTTCTTTGAATGTCTTTCAATCATTCTCTACTACTTCCCAGGTTTCAACTATGAGTTAACTCTATACCTATGACCGCCAAATCTACAAATCCAGGCCAATTATCTATTGAATGTGTACTCATAGTGGACTTCCATTACTAGATATTCCCAGACACTGTAAATCCATCAACTATAAAATTGATTGCATTATCTACACACACACACACACACACACACACACACACACACACACACACTGCACCATTCTGCTGCTCAAAGAAGGTACCACTATCTGTCTAGTTAACAAAGGCAAAAGCTGGTCGTCACCCTTGACTCCTCACTGTCTCTCACCCCAATACTCAATCAATGACCAGTTCCTGCTCATCCCTCTCCCCACCATCTGCTTCCTTCCTCTCCAGTCTCATGCCATGGCCCTGCTGTAGGCACTCACCATCTTGCATCTGGATTGTGGCACCTGCCTCCTAACCGGTTTCTGGCCTTTCTCTTTCCAATTCAGTCTTGCAATATTGCCCCAATATTTTTTAATGCAAATTTCATCTCATTACTACTTTAAAATCTTTCAATAGCTCCCCAGAGCCTAGAGAAATGGGCCACACTCCCTGGTACAGCATGTGGGGCTCTTCCCAGTCATGGCCCAAAGTCATAAACACTATTTTTAGTCTAATCTGTAAATGTTATGTAGGTTAGATTAAAGAGGGGGTGAATGGTGACAGAGAAATTAGTAAAAAACTCTTCTAAAATACTTTTTAAAAATCTCTATCATTAAGTGTGCAGTTTTGGGTAAGCCCATATTGCCCCAGGCTCCTTGAATACACACAGTGCCCAATGAATATTTATTGATTCGAAATCGAAGTGTGTTACTTTCCTTTGGGTTTTAACTTTTCCAACTGCTTAACATGATAGACAGAGTCATACAGCCCATGATCTTAGCTAGATCACTTAATTTCCACAAATTACTTACTCCATGGCCTTATATTAGAATTTGGAGGTAAGAATAAATGTACCAAGTAATTGAAATGAATGGGTGGATGAAAGAGGCATTGTGGGAAATGATTGATAAGACCTGGTTACTATTAAAACCTAGGTGCCCATAATAAGTCCTGTGCCCTCCATCTCAGTTGAAGGTAGCCAAACTCTTGGATCAGGAAATAGTAAAAGACATGACAGTTTAGTTCGAGGATGAGAGGAGTGGCCCTTGTGGGTGATTGTGTATTGGGTGGGGAGGAAAAAGGAGAGAGAGAAAACATATAACATTAATATAAACAAATCACAACAACTACATTCAATAAATAGAAATTGGAAGGCTCTATTTCAGATCAAGACAAAGCAACATTCCCTTTTCACATTTTTTTCAGTATTAGAATCCCAACTTTAAAAGGCCAAGGTCAGGACTCAGACAATGGGAAATATTTTCTTTCTTAAAATCTGACAAAAAAAAAAGGAGCCAAAAGGAAATGGAACTGGAGTCAGAAAAAAGAGTCATTTCTGGAGCTGCATCTGTGAAATTCTCCAAGAGGTGGGAGGAGGAGAGAATTAGCATAACCGAGCTTCTGTATGCTCTAAGGTAAAGTACCTCATACACATTGCCTCAGTCAAGGCCTCGCACCATAAGGTAAGAATGATTGTTCCCACTCTGTGTCTTAACAAAGAAAAACCTAGCCCTGTACTTAGTAAGGGACAGAGCCAGCACTTGAACCCAGATCTTTCTGATCCCAAAGCATAGACCTTAACACCTCTCTGTGACCATGAGCAGCCACTCAGAAAGCCTCCTTTCCCATGAATAGCGATCTATATGTCCAGATTCATTTATTCATTAAACAAATCTTAATTGAGTGCTCGTTATACATCTGGCACAAGCTAGGCTATGGATTAGCTATGGCTATGCTTTAGGAGGGGTATTCAAGGACCCCCTAGAGGTGCCTTCTGGCTACAGATTTCAGCAACTGTAAGAAACCAAGGCAGCCAAGGCTCCCTTCTCTGCTGTTGTCAATATCTGATGAATTCCCACTGGGAAAGGGGTGGAACACTGTAGCCATCGCTCTTCTGCCCAGGTTAGGAAGAGCAGAAGGAAAAGCCAGCAGGAAGCCCAAGGGACAAATGGACTCCAGCAGTCTCTCACAGGGTCCTGTGTCAAAAATAGTCCCAATACAGAGTTTCCCTTGGGGTAGGTGAAAAAGTTCTGGAGATGGATGGGGGTGATGGTTGCACAACATTGTGAATGTACTCAATGCCACAAATTATACACTTAAAAACTGGTTAACATGGTAAATTTCATATTGTATATATCTTACCACACTTAGTAAAATAAATTCTTGAAAACAGTTTTGAAACTCACTGTGTGAACATCGCTCCCAAATGTGCACCTGTCCAAACAATTGATCATTCAGACCATTCATACAACTCGGTTCATTTTAGTTTTAAGCTATGAGTACAAAAAGGGAAAGAAGGAAGCAAGGAAGGACGGGAGGGAGGGAGGGAGGGAGGGGAGAAGGGATAGCAAGCTCCATTATTAAGGTGTAGAAGGAGTTAGGACCATCGTTGAACTGTTTCCCTGAAGAATAAGAAGAATTTGTTCTTTGGGCACGTTTCCCGCCAGTCGCATCCAGCATCTGACAGTCATAGTGCACTAAAAGGAATTTCCAGTATGGTGCCTAAAACTAAACATAAATCAAAAAGACTGTTAAATGACAACGAGAAAATAGGCCCAGGACTGTCTTTCTAGCCTGAGGGCCATAATCACCAGGTCACTCTGACCTGGCCTGGCAGGCAGCCCTGGGTGGCTGGAAAAGGTGACTTCCTGGCCAGGATGGAAGGAGCCTGGCAGCCATGAGGGGCTGAGCCATGTGGGGTGTCTCAGGTCCAGGTATGAGTGACAGTGATGCCAGCTTCCAACAGGGAAGACCACCCCAGCAATAAGAATAACTGGGTCCCAGGACCAGGAAGTGTCCCACCTCACTCCCCCATACTGCCCACCCACAACACCGTGACAGGCAGTGGCCTCCCTGGGAGGCAGGCAGCGCCTCTATCATCTCCACATTACAGATAAGGAAACAGCTAGGCTTGAATCAAGATGTTCAAACAGGTCACGTCTTTTCCTCTGTGGAGCAAAAAGAAGTGACTCACTCAATGTTCTCACTGGAACCGGGCTCCCGATCCAGCACAGCTCCAGTGCTTTTCCCACTGTAACGTATCAGTCCATAAAACTGAAAGAAGCTCCTGACCAGGGACCGTAACTGCAAACAGAAGAAAGAGAAAGAAGCCAGAACCCTGGACTCACACTCATCTCTTTTTTGGAGCTTTGGAGGAGAAACTGTCATGGACTAAGGTGAAGAAGCTGCCCCTGTATAACTTTATCCTTATATTCGCCACCAGAGGGGGCAGTTGCTCCACATCAGTGGTCTTTCGGCGGCACTGAAGATACTTGCTAAGGGTGAGATCCCCAAGGCCAAAGGGTCATTTTAGCTCTCCTCTGCCCAAGTGCTGCTTGCATTTACTTAGCAAACAGCGCCCTGCTGTAGATAAGGAAGGCGCTGCAGGATCATCTGGTCCCAAGCAGCTGGCTATTTCCCCTACTCTTACAGAGCTCCAGAAATAGATTTCAGCACCTCACTTGGCTGCTGTCATTAAGCTGTCAGTGTGGGCCACTGGCCCCAGAGATAGGAGCCAGGTGAGAGCATATTACCCCCTCCCCCCACCCATCCCTGTGACTGTGCATCAGCCCCTAGGGAGACGGCAGGGGTTCTCTTCCTCCTGCCCAAGAGCCCCAGGCACCTGCTTCCATCTTTCTGGCCACTTCACAGGCCGTGCCTGAGAACAATAGAGGCTTGGCCTGGGAGTCCAAAGCCTGGAGCCCCTTCATTTGTCTCTTGAGATCCCTGTCCTGAGAGGCACTCATTGTAGAGATGAGTTTGGGCTCTACCCGCTTCAGAATCCACTCCTACCCCTCCTTGTCCCCAATGCATCTGCCTTTGCTTCATTCCAGCTGGTGTCCTCAGAGGAATGGCTAATTAAATTGAAAAGAGCTGGCCTATTTTGGGTGTTTTTCAGCTAAGACCTGGAGGAATAGCCACCAAGTTTGGAAAGAAGCCCAGGGAGACTGAAAAGCTCTAGGTTGGCTGGTTATTCTAGGATTGGCAGGTCCTAAGTCCCATAGGCTAGCTGGTCCAGTTAAAGTTCCATCCCATTCTCTGGGTTGTCAAATTTGATGGGGCAAAAACTGGAGAAAGGGGAAATAGTCTCCTGGGTAGTCTTGATCCAAGTTGTCCTAGAAGAAGAACAAACTCATTTATTTGGCCTTGTTATTTGTAGCAAAGTCAGAGCAGCCACAGTTTGGACATAAGAATTGTTCTCTGAAGAAAGATGGCAGGAGTAGGGATCTGAGGCGGGTGGAGTGCGGGGTGGGTCACGGATGGGAGCAGACGGACAGATCTCAGTCTCAGGTTCCATCACCCGGATTTGAACCGATATTGTTTCCTCCCAGAAAATTACTTTCTTTCCAAAAAGAAAACTCATCCTGTCACTCCCCTGCATCAAAACATCCTTCGGTTCCTTATTTTTCTGCTTACCTGACAAACTCCTTAACTAGACCTATAACATTCCTTTAAAATTAGCCTCGACCTTTCTTACCAGGTTCAATTCCTGCCATGCTATGCTCTAGCCACCTGGAATTACTCACCCTCCCTTCTTCTTGCTGTTTCTACACATTTCAAGTCCTCTGCCAGGGATTCCCTTCTTTGTCTAGCAAATTCTACTCATTCGCGGACTTGCACTGCAAACATTACCTCTCTGAAGTCTTTGTTTTAAACACCTCTAGGAATTAGTTGCTCTGCACTGTGCATCCCTGGAACTTTGACCATGCCTCCAGCACACCGTGTCCTTCCCAAACACATTTTCAAAATGTGTTTAATCATCCAGATAGCCCGAGTCTCCAGCACGGAGTCCAGCTAATTTTTATTGATGAATTAGGACATCGCTCTTGGTGGTGGAAGAAACCTGACCTCCAGAGACGGCAGCAGGGAACACAGGCAGTTTGGCGAGTTGACCCCCTCAGGTGAGGTAAGTGAGAAGGAATGTGTGGAGTCAGACAGGTACAGTGTTTTTGGCCATGGCTGTTAAAATCTCAGGGATAGAAGATCTGAAGCTTGCCCTCACGGTGGATCTAGTTGCTAAGTGGCGTTCTGCTCCAGTGAAGGGAAGCACTCACAGCTCTTTTCTCACCTGTCATCCGAGCCCCATCTCACATTCCCACTTCTTCCAAGAAGGCTTCCCTGAACATTCTTGCTCCTGCCTTTCCAGCTGGAATACCAGATTCAGGAGGTCTTATCCTTGATGGACAGACAGCACAATGCTGGTGCATGTTTTATGCTCAAAAAATGTTCATTGATGCTGATGAAATTGTCTGCTTAGGATCATAGAGACTGTGCTGTACATATTCTGCCCTTTTGGACACACTCCCCATCCTTCTTCCCTGCCTCTGTCCCGGGACTGCACCAGCCAGACTCTCTCGTCTGGCTTTTATCTAGATTTGGCCCACGGGAGGCATGGGAGTAAGAAGAGGTGGCAGTGTATTTATCAGCTTCATTCCCTCCTGCTGGCCAGAGTTTGGCAGTGCTTGCCTTCCTCTACCAAAGTCCACAGCTTCCCTGCACCCAAAGGGGCAGCCTTTTGCTACGGCCTCACCCACAGCCATGCTCTCTGAGGTTGCAGCAAACACCCCATCCCCTTGCCCGATGTGGCTATCCCTGTAGGCTTCAATGTCCCTTAATAGTTTCCTGTAACCTCGCTCATGTTCTGTAAATGACCCCCTCAGTGGACCCCCCCAGTTACTCCATTCTGAATGGGGATTACACACAGTATCCACAGGTCTAGCTCTGTGCCCATCAGGGTTCTCCAGATGCCTGCTCAACATCTGAATGATTACGTTCCACAAACATAGATGCTTCGGAATATGTTCCAATCTTCTTGATTTCTTAAATTTTCCAGCCAGGAAAAATGGGCCTTTGTCATCAACCTTAGGAGTAATTTCCATGGAGTTTGGAGTTCTACAATAGCTCTTGGGATCATAAATAATCTTTCTCCCTCCCTATATGTTCAGTGTTTTTCTGGACCACTTAGATACGTAAACTTGGAGTGGTTTTTTGTGGGGTGGGGAGTTAGGGATCCAAATTTCTCCCTTAAACATCAACCATCTAGTCAATAATCTTCAAACCGCTGAATGTGCCTGCCTTCCCAGCCCACAGCCCTCTCCCTAGTTCAGACTCTATGCGTTCAGGCTTCTCGGGCCTACAATAGCGCCTGTCCTCTCTCCCACTCCCCATTCCACTGCACCATGTCATCCTGCAGAGAGAGTTTTCTGACTCCTCATGATCCCTCGAACTGTCGCCCAGCCACCCCACCGCAATGAACAGGGACTCTTGGCACTGCACGCTTCCAGCCGTAATACATGTGGCATTTTCTCACCAGGAGGACCTGAGCAAATGAACCCCTTGACCCAAGGTTCCCCAATATCTCAGGGAACTCAGAGCTGAACAAGGCCATCTTCGGCTTGCCGAATCGTTTCACCTAGTTCTAGCACGTCAGTAGAAAGATTAATTCCAGAGTAAAAACTCTCCTCCCAGGAGCTTCTGCCTCTCTGCTGCCCCAGATTGCCTGGAGGGCCCTGAGTGCCAGATCTGAAACATGCTTTCTTGAAGAGAAACTGAGGGCTAGAGAGGAGAAGCAGCCACTGCCCTGAGTCACAGGAGAGTGTGGGCGGGCGAAGGGAGAGGGCTCAGGTAGACAGGTAGACAAAGACAGATGACGTGCTGAGCTGGGAGGGCGGAACGAAGCTCTGAGAAAGAAAAGATGCAGAGTGGTGTGCATGCGCGCTGTGCTGGGAACGATGGCTTCGGCCACATTGAGACTTGGTCATGGAACTTTTGCCAAGCTTTCTTCCCCTTCCACTCCTCTGCCCACACTGCCCTCACCAGCCTTATCACCCCTTCCCAGTGCCAGGACCTGGGGACTGATAGTTTTGCCTGGAGTAAAGTCCAACTGGCTGTCTCCCTCCCTGGCCCGAATTGCCCCTTCCCACTGCTCCTCCCTGTCCACCCCATAGAGAAGAGCTGGCACCCTCACCCGCATAGCGCCTCGTGCCAGATGAGACACTTGAGCTGGAAGATTACCGAGCGCTCTTTTTAACCAGCCTGGGCTCATGTGACTGGCTTTTGTCCAGGCAGACATACGCAGGCCAGCCCTCCAGGCAGGGCACACAGCACTATTTATTTCTTACTGGGTTCTCTGCGGGCAGAGCTGGCAGGGTGGGGCTTTCTCATTGTATTTAAGCCTCAACTGGCGCCACTGCATTGCCCCAGTTTCAGCCTTTGCCCTTTTCCCAACCCTGTAGGTAAAAATAGCCACCACCCCACCCCCCTCCCCGTTTTCGGGAGTTCATGGGGCAGGGGAAGGAGGGTTGCTGGGAAGGCGGAGTAAACACTGCATGGGGGTGGGGCTAATGTTGAATGGGGCATGTGGGTTTTTTTAGTAGCAGCAAAGGAGAGTTTGGCTGCAAACCTTGGCTCTGCTATTAACTGAAGGGAAGAGCCTGGGTACCATTCTTTAATGGTCTCTGGGGCAGGAGGCCTTGTAGATAATGCGGGGGGAGGGAGTTAGTGAGGAAAATGATCATGGCTAGTGATGGACAGGGACGGTCACCACAAACATCCTTCGCTGACCTCCACCCCCATCCTTCGTTTGGGTTTTCTTGGACTCCTAGGGCATCTAGTCCATGTCTGCCATCATATGTATCTCATTGTATTTCGATTCTTTAACCGAACTTTTACTTCCCACTAAATTTTGGAGCAAGGACGGTGTCTCATTTGTTTGAATTGCCCACCACAGCGTCTGACACACAGGCGACAATGGGCATTTACTGCAAGATGGAAGAGAAAGCCGGCAGAGGGAGGTGGGCAGTGGGATCTGGCGCCCCCTGGGGGATCCCTGCAGAACTTGCAGTTGGGAGTGCAGTAGGGGAGGCAGGACGCCACCAGCGCCCCTGCTCCTGCAGTAGTTCCCCGCAGGGTTTCTAGTTTTACAAGCTGTGACTCTGTGGTCTGAGAAGTCTCAGCCTTGCCTCCTCCTCCAGCCCCAGCCCCAGCCCCACCCAGGCTTTCCCAGCTAAAGCTGCACCTTTCTCCCCTGGGCGCGGAATTTAAGGCTGGA